GTAACTTATATATATACCTACTAGTTTTTTCACCATAACAAACAACACCAATATGGCCTAGTTAGTAGTTTACCTGTGTAAATTAATAATAATAGTAATCTCAGGACAATTCATACAGCTTCATCTAGACCCAAGTTAAGCTAGCTGAAGATTATGTTATGGGTACTGATATAAATACAAAGATTTTTTCGTAAATACATATATATTATCTATACATAGAAAACACCCAGACCGTTACAAACAATTTAATAATAAGTTAATAGTTTAATAAGTACGTACGTAATATTATCACATGGTAACAGCACGTATTATGGCAAAAATAAACATCGGCTGATTTGAAAAGATTTATTATAGTAATAATAGTAATCTCAGGACAATTCACACAGCTTCATCTAGACCAAAGTTAAGCTAGCTGAAGATTACGTTATGGGTACTGATATAAATACAAAGATTTTTTTTCGTAAATACATATATATTATCTATACATAGAAAACACCCAGACCGTTACAAACAATCATACTCATGAATACAAATGTTTGCAGCGTGCGAGGAATCGAACCCTCGACCACCAAGCAGGAATCAAAGCAGTGTGCTAGCTAAATCGCTAGACTACCGACAACTAGCTGTACACCCGACTTCGTCCGCGTGGAATTTAACTTCTTATATTTTAGAAAAATAAAGTTAAATTCAACACGGACGAAATCCCGTGTACAGCTAGTCATCAATAAAAAAACACGTAGGTATCTCTAATATATTATACACTAGCTGTTCCCGCGACTTCGTCCACGTGGTTTTTAACTTTATTTTTCTAAAATAAAAGTAGCCTAAGTTACTCCTTATTACATCAGCTACCTGCCAAAAAAAGTCCCGTCAAAATCGGTCCAGCCATTTCAGAGATTAGCATTGAACAAACAGACAGACAGACAAAAATTGTAAAATATGTTATTTTGGTGTATGTACCGTATTTATATTCATATGCAAGTAGTAAAAAACGGTTATTTCAATATTACAAACAACAGGCTTCAACATTCTCAAGTACCACAAAAAAGATGTTTTTTTATCAAATAAACAGTTTTTATTAAAAACAAGCTGTCCCCGCGACTTCGACCGCGTGGAATTAACTTTATTTTTCTAAAATAAAAGTAGCCTAAGTTACTCCTTATAAATCAGCTACCTGCCAAAAAAAGTACCGTCAAAATCGGTCCAGCCATTTCAGAGATTAGCCGGAACAAACAGACCGACAGACAGACAGACAAAAATTATAAAAATTGTTATTTTGGTATATGTACCTTATATATATTCATATGCATGTAGTAAAAAACGGTTTTTTCTATATTACAAACAGACACTCCAATTTTTATTAAATGTATAGATGTATAGATTATTATTTATTTATTTATTTATTCATCCAAAATAATACAAATTGTGTAGGATAACGTAATAGTAACATTACAGTAAAATTTTGTCAACAACATAATAGCAACTTAAACATTAAATCTCGGTATATCTATAGACTAGTGGCCCCAGCGACTTCGTCCGCGTGAAATTTTATTTTATTTTTCTAAAATAACAGTAGCGTAAGTTACTCCTTATTACATCAGCTACTTGCCAAAAAAAGTTGTCAAAATCGGTCCAGCTATTTCAGAGATTAGCCGGAACAAACAGACAGACAGACAGACAAAACTTGTAAAATATGTTATTTTGGTGTATGTACCGTATTTATATTCATATGCAAGTAGTAAAAAACGGTTATTTCAATATTACAAACAGACACTCCAATTTTATTTACATGTATAGATGTATAGATTAAAAAAAAAGTAACAGTCATAAGGCTAGTCGTATGCCTAATATATATAATAATGTAATAAATTCATTTAAACAGAAATTGCGGGAACATTATTTAAATTTGTAACTTTTTTACTGTCCTTCTCCTTTTTTCACATCTTTCTGTTATATCCATATAGTTCTCTCTATATTTTCTGATTTTCTTACTTTCAATTTGAGACTGTACTTATAATTTGATTATCGGATCATTATGTATTTACTTATATATAATATTTATACTTTACGTTTATTATATATATTTATGTATGTATATTGTTATTTTTTTATAGAAATGTATATTTTGCTTATCTTTATTATCTTTATAAATCTTTTTTTGACATTTCTTATTTATATTAGTGCACCGCCAATAATCTTTCGCTGCACCACTCATGGTTGCCTGGTAAATAACGCGGCAAAATATTAAGTCCGCCACATGTACAAATTTTTTTGTGCATTAAAGTTAAAGAAATAAAAAAATACAATACTGTTTAATGAAAATGCGTGTTGTCTAGTGCTTTGAGATGTATCAAAATAAGGTCAACAAAAAAGTCCGTGATGGTATATGTCTATCTCTTAAGGATAACCAACAATAACCATTTTTTATCTTTTACATTTTATTTTTTTTATCGTATGTTTCCCTTAAAATCATGTAAACTATGTTATTATGTCATAATCTAAAGAAATAATAATATTTTATAGTGACATATCCACTATAAAATACCAAAAAGTATGTAATTCGTTACGCGCGAATCAGGTGTTATAAGGTCAAAGGTCGGTGCACCCTCGTATTTGATAAATAGTGCTTCTCTGGACGTCTTTAAGAGAAAATGGCAGTATGTACGTGTATATGTACAAGTCCTTAAGTGTTAAGTTTTTCAAATGTACATACAGTAAAGAATAAATATTTTTAAGTACAGTACTTACGTACATTAATATAATACCTACTTTTTACTTGTATCTATTGTTATCAAAATTAAATTATAAGTTCTTAACTTGACCACGACTATGTGACCCTCTCTTGGCCAAAACGAGTGAAAAAATGAACAGCATACGACGACGACGCAGTACCTATAGAGTGGAGCAACTGCTTATTCAGTTTTATTCAACTATTTAGTCCCTCCACCGTTACAATGAATGGAGGCGGATATTACAATGTACGTAGCATTGCGAATATAAAATATCTAGATTAGGTATAATAAATTCATAATTCATAGGCCGTTACGGTATCAGAGCCAAAGTCTTTTTCTTTGTTTATGTACTGTTAGATGCGACAGCGACTTTGTTTTTATATTACTATGTAATGATTGATATACCTAAAATAAATGAAATATCTGAGGTTTGGACAAAAATTCAAAAGGTACTTAATTTTTAAAAAGTATTTTGAAAATACCTATTTTGCATTTACAAAACAATACAAAATAGCAATACAAAACACAAAACTATTTTTGTTTTTAGAGTGACATTTCTATGAATTCACTGTCGATAGCGAGCGGTGCGATGAAAAAAAATAACCGTTTATAAAAATATAATAAATAACCCTGGACAATTAACACAGACTGATACTGAACTGATATAAATAGATATTTTTATTTTGTAAATACATATATAATATACATATAAAACACCCAGACCGATACAAACAATCATACTCATGAATACAAATGTTTGTGCCGTGCGAGGAATCGAACCCGCGACCATCGGATGTAAAGCGGTGTGACCACCGAGGCAGTCGAAATATATAAATAATCTTATGAATTTAATTTATTCTAATTTGTTTATGTGCGCGGGGTGCGGTGTACGGTGCTCCCCCTGCCTCCACCGTTGCTGGAGCTTGCATGTATGGAGCATTGCGAATATAAAATATGTAGATTAGTAAATTCATAATTGATAGACCGTTACGGTATCTATATATATTCGGATTAAAATAAGTATCGCAAAGGACCAGTATATAAAGTATCAACACAATTAACTGATTTTTGAAATATATATACAGAGCCAAAAAAGTCTTTGTGTATTCAAAAAATATCTAATTTGTTTGTGTGCGCGGGGTGCATAACAGGGGGGACCCTGCCTCCACCGTTGCTGGAGCTTGCATGTATGGAGCATTGCGAATATAAAATATCTACATTAGTAAATGAATAAATTAATAATTGATAGACCGTTACGGTATTTATATATATTCGGATGAAAGTAATTATCGAAGTAAGGACGATTATATAAATTGAACAACATAATTAATTGATTTTTGGAATATATTCAGAGCCAAAAAGTCTTTGTGTATACCAAAAATTTAGCCGTTCGGAGCCATTCAGTCACGAATTATTAGTAAAAAAGTGTCGAGTATATCGTACTATCGACGAATATATATGGCCGCATCGCAAAATAGAATGCGACGTTGCCATACCGCCTGAGATATACGCGATAGAGGTCAAGTTATTCAGTGCAAAAGGTGGAATCAGCAAGTGTGTAGGTTGTGGCGTGATCAACAAAGTGCCCAAAGAGGTGTTTATATATATATATATATATATATATATATATATATATATAAAGGATATTGTTTTTTATAATAGATAGATCGAATAGGTATATTTGCTTTATTTGCAATATACAGTAAGGAAAAGATATAAATTATATATTAATTTAAATTGGATAACTATATGGGTATATACTGGGTACTATATATCATTTAAGTGACATGAAATAGATATATACATAGTACACATATATAGTTTAGTTGTCCTTATGTGTATGTTAGTCCGTAAAGTATATATTATATGATCCATAAAGTTACTCGATATTAATAAATAAAACATAGTATATCCCTACTACTTACGTACTTATGTAAGACGAAAATGATTTCAAATATTGAGTAAGTTTACTTGTCGTTTGTAAATGTCAATGGACTTCTCATTTCTGATAGTCACAGGTATCTAACGAATTCTATAAAATGATAGCATTGTAATTACAATTTTTATGGGTATCAAGCTGTTTGCAAAGATTAGTTTAAAATAAGGTACAAAAACTTGGAGCAATGTGAATTGGTATTTGTGAACAATGCGTAAATCTGCGGGCAAATGGATTTTCTACACAATTTCAAGCCAGCTTATATCAGTTTATTTACGACTGCTATAATATTTTTATGACAATATAAATTTTGGCTACCTTTGTTTTTATAGCTGTTGTGGTCAATGAAATGGCGACAAATGTTTCCATGTTACGTACGTCACCTGCTCACTTTAAACGAAAATGTTTATATGTTATGGGTATTTGATTTTATTGGGGAGTTTAAATGTAAACAGCGACATGGATATAACATTGACTACAGCTACAATACGTGACTATACATCACCAAAACCATCGACAATAGTCCGGAGACTCAATGTGGAGTGGAAAGAGATGGAAAGTAAAGAGAAAAATAAAATGGATGTCTTACGAAATCTGTTTCTACTGCAGAATGTGGAATTACGAAGGAGTACGTAATCAATATTACTTATATTAACTTAATTCCTAAATAATCTGCAAATTTGTTTCAAATTGGGCAGGTCGTAATGATGTGTGGAACTGGGATTATTGGTGTCAACTGCAACCCAAAAAAGGCAATTGCCCCGGAGACATGCAGAAGTTTGTATTAATTTACATTTTCTGTAATAAGGAGAAAATTTGAAGTAGCTATTTATCCAGTTTCAGCGTTGCTGTAGAGAGTATTTAATAAGCCTGGGACGAATCCAGAGTGGCGGTAGCACACCTGTAGAGTTAGGACATATCTACATATTTTTTGATAATTTTGTAATACTAATTATTGTATAAAACCAATTTGTGATATATTTTTTATGACTATTATAAAATTTATTTTTGGTTTACATGAATTAAAAAATATAATTTAATTTAATTTATAGCGTTTACACTTACAACAACACAACTACAATTATTAATTTTGCAGTCGCAACCGAATTTTAGTAGGTATATGTTTTTTATGGAAATTCCATGTAATTAGTGTGGAGATAAAAATAGCGAGAGAAACTACATTCATATTAATCTAATAAACAAATAAACGACAAATCGAAAAATTTATTAAAACTTTGGTTGCATCGTCATAATCCACTATATCATTAACTAAAAACTAACTTCAACTTATAATTAATATGATTATTTTCAGGTATTACTATAATGCACAATTGGATCGATGTCTATTGTTTGATTATTCAGGGTGTGCAGGAAATAAGAATAATTTTAAATCGTTAATAGATTGTGAACGATATTGCAAAGGTAAATAATTATATTAGTGAGGAAAGATCCTATTTGTATTTTAACAAATAAAAATAACCTTGGGTAATTAACACAGCGCTATCAAGTCTCTTGGTAAGGAGAACTTGTGTTATGGGTACCAGACAACTGATATAAATACCGACTTAGTTTTTTTTTCTGTAAATACATACATAATATAGATACATGCTTAACAACTCCTATTCATGCCAACAAATGTTTGCATAGTGCAAGTATCCAACCCGCGATCATTGTAAGCAAAGCGGTGTGCTAAACCATGCGTGATCATATTTTTATCTTCAATAGGTATACAATGTTATCTTACAGCATATTTTTTCAGGAGCAAATTATTTCGATTTAAAGAATATTAAACCACCAACCTTTTGTTCGTTACAACCCGACTCAGGACTTTGTTTGGCTCTTATCACGAAGTAAGTACCTACTTATAGTTAACACATAATAAACATAATCAATACTTTGCATGAAAACTCAGCCGATTCACTGTGTGTAAGTTATCTAGCGTAACGGTTGTTACTGTAGTACCTACTACATTAATATGTGGGTTGTTTTAAAGTATAATTTGATTTAATTGTTATTTTGTATATTCAGGTATTACTACGATGTAAATGAAGGTCGTTGCAAAAGCTTCAAGTATGGAGGCTGCGGTGGTAATCAGAATAGATTTGATACGATGGCGGCCTGTCGTAGGCATTGTTTTGTATCTACTTCTTAAATATATAATAAATTATAATTAAAAATTCTCTTCAAAGATAACCTATTTTAATATAAATTACACTCAATGTAGGTATTATTTACCTAGACATGTTTAAAATAAGCACAGTAGGATTTATGCATAATATAACATTATATTTATGCAATATAATGTTCTAATGTTATATTATCGTTAGAAGTAATTTTAGATGACAATGGGATGGAATTCCTCTCTGAGCTAACGGTTTTGGTTGGCGTGGTACCAGTGAAGGATGATAAAATAGATGAGGTCAGGTTAATTAACCTATTGTGATAATTTGTCCAATAATATAACACGGTGGTTTCCAGGGGGAACCACGTGGAAGTCAAGGTGATATGGTTCTAGGTAAGGTATGATTAGTCCACATTATTAACAATTCCCTTCCAACACTCACCGTATTTAGGAATCTGTAAAGTTAGACTTGTAAAAAATTAAAAAGAACTTTATGTAAAAAAGGATTTGTAAGTAATATTTCGTCTATATATCAGTAGTTGAAAATTATATATGTTTATAAATAACATAACGATAAATCGTTGTGTTAAAAGTCTAACAAATAGGTAATTGTATAACGTGAATAACATTATTTAAAAATTATAAATCAAATTTAAAATCAACCAGACGCGTTTTATTCACGAATAATTTTTGTATTCACATTTTAAGTATTCCGTACCGGCAAGGTTCGTTAGAGAAAGATGGAAATTGACCAGATATTAAAATACAACGAATAGATAAAACATTGATCTTAAGATCAGGCTACAATATCTATGTTATGGAAAAAGTTGCCAATAAGCATAACAATAATTGATGAGTAGAAACATTTATCTATAATGTAAACGAAATTAACAATTTATAAATTTGAATAGGAGGTAACTAATTAGAGTATATAACGATTTATATACCTAATTAAATGTTGTTACTTCCTAAATAAAACAAAGCAATTATCGAAATTGGCAATTCTTCAAAGGGATACCTACAGTGAAACTCACTTACTCACTTGATAAATTAGTAGCTTCATTAATGGCTTAAGCCGTTTAAATAAAAACATAAGCTTCGACGGGAACGGCCAGCGGTAATCCGGTCCGACGAAGAAAAAGTCCTCTAATTAATAGTAGAGCTTCCGGATTAATTAGCGAATATCTGAGCACTCGGCTCAGTGCTGCTCGTGAAGTATGTCCTTCGTTACATTCACTTTGTAAATAAGCAAAAGACCTATTCGTATTTTAAATTTTAATTCCACGGTAATATAACGACATTTTAAAGGATCTTAGTGTTTGCGATCGTAAAGAGCCATTAGATATATTTTAAAATAAGAATTGATTTGAAAATGGAACATTCAATAAAGAACATCGATATAATTTTGTTTTATTTTTGTAAAATAAAATAAATTATTGTCGTATAATCCACAGCGTCACCAATAAAGACATCAAGTGCGCAAAACAATTTTTGCTTTTATTATTACAACCTGCAATATTTCTCCATCGCACAAAGAAAGAATACAATTGAGTGTCTACTTTATTTTTGACTAGCTGTTCCCGCGACTTCATTCGCGTGGAATTTAACTTAATTTTTCTAAATCTATATCTATATATATCTACTGTGTATATATAAAAACTGTTTAGAATAAAATAAAAGTAGCTTAAGTTACTCCTTATTACATCAGACTTGTCAAAAAAGTCTCGTCAAAATCGGTCCAGCCATTTCAGATATTAGCCGGAACAAACAGACAGACAAAAATTGTAAAAAATGTTATTTTGGTGTATGTACCGTATTTATATTCATATGCATGTAGTAAAAAGAAATAGAAATAATCTTTATTCAAATAAATTCATTACAATCACTTTTGAATAGTCATATTTTGATTCTACCACTTATTCGGAATGCAGATTCGTCACAAGAAGAATGAGCAAGAAACTTGTGTGTTGATCTTTCTAATAGATATTTTTTTTATATAAATAAAAAAGTAAAAACCGATTATTCCAATATTAAAAACAGACACTCCAATTTTATTTATATGTATAGATAATAATATTTTGGCTCCATATGGTAGTAAGGAATAATCCAATATGCGATCTTTTAGGTTTAACTTTGCATTTAAACTTATTAAATGTAAAATATTAAATATAATGTATGTATATATTTCTATTAGTTGCCTAGAAGCCATAACACAGCTTTGCTTAGCTTGGGACTACATGGCGTTGTGTGAGTTGTACTGTGATATTTTTATTATTATATATATCTAGTGTGTACCTATATATAAAAACGTAAAGTAGATTATATTAAAGTTTTTTGTTGTCAATTATGAGTACCTAAATAAGTAAATATAAAAGTAGGTAATTGTCTTGCGTAGACGGAAGGCGTGGTGGCAGCCCGTTGATTGATGTCTAGCGGAGATGTTTAATTACCGAGAATAAAGTCAATCGTGAAATATATTACTTCTTGTCCTTTGATGGAAACGAAAATTCCGTTATTCACGGCGCCAATTTATCTATCTCGTCCATTTATTTGATTGGGGGAAAGAAATCCGATTCAGTATATTGTTTCTTAGATTGTAGGTAACTATATATAGTACCTAATTCGGAATTATACCTGGGTATATATGAGGAAAGAATTGTTTCCTACATCTTATTATGTATAAACTAACATTTTTAGTTAGTATAGTTTCATTTTATAAAAAAAAAATCTTATCATACATAATAATAAGTAATAAAATAAGGCATAAGTACATTAGCAGTAGGTTGGTTTCAAAGAAGCAGAAGGCGTGAGGGCTCATACATTACATGATATCTTCGCCTTCAAATGATAAACAAGATGCTTAAAACAGATGAGAGAGATGAGAACAAAAAAACATTGCGGTATCCACGTAGACGATTTTTACGGGGCAGATGGAGCACATTAAAAGGATAATTAGGATTATAACTGAAATTATCTATATTTTTTTATTTATGTATATTAAACATAAGGTCAGGAAAGTTAGCCCATAGTGGTAAATTTATCACGATAGTTCCAGGGGTAACCACGTCCGGAGGAACATTGCTAGCAATGGGGCCATCAGTACACGATACTCACAATCCCCTTCCTCCCAATATTCATATTATCTACTCTCGTGATACCACCACTCATGCGTTGCCATTCCGGACTTTGATGCCATGTGTTATCCTGTAATTTAGCTGCCTTATCTCAACTGAAACACTACTTACAAAGCAAACAACTTGTCGGCTGAAATAGGTAAGTAAGATGTGATGTGTAAGTGAGATACCAGATCAGGCCTGGCCATGCAGACAACTTTTTAAGACTATCTTGATAAAATCAAACAGTTTGATAAGTAGTGATTTCATTTTATTTCTTATTTTCCATTACCGGAATGTACCTAACATTCCGATAATGGAAAATAAGAGCCCAGTTGTCTATGTGTAAACACGAGAGTGGAGTTTATGACTAAGTCGTAAAAGTTCGTACTCGTTCACACTGTAAAAAACTCCAATTAAACTGTGTGCGTGTGATTGCGAGACAAAATCACGAAATGCGAAACAAAATCATGTTTTTATATTGGCAGTAGAGGACTAAAGAAACCAAAATAAAGTGCTTTTAAAGCAAGTATACCATAGCATATATTTGATAGCAAGTATATCAAAGAAAGCATATTTAGTTTCTGTGAGAGAAATAGAGATTCAATATTGCAATCTTTAGTTATGTAAATTATCCATTATGTCAATATAAAGAGAATAAATGAGAATTAATAAATGTGTGTACATATAAATACAAACAATAGGAAATGCATGTACCTACTTATCTAAACTCTCTTCAAGAGCTGACTGTAATAATCTGAGAGTCTCTTCTCCACTAGTGCTACCTACATTCCAATAGTTTTATTACAAATTCAAGTTTAAACACTCGGCTATAAGGTACAACTGTGGCAAATAAATAATAATTTCCTGTCTATGTTTGTTTTCTTCATGAATAATATTATTCGTTAATTGTATGTAACGACAGAGAACAAGACTTATGATGGTATAATGAATATGTTATTTAAAAGATCACTTCAGGAGTAACTTAGAAAGTACCCGAGTAATTGTTATATAGGTAAGTGGGTATTCTTTTCGAGGGGTTGTTATTATCTACTTTTTAGGATTCCTAATAAAAACTAAGTAACTAGTTAACATAACTTTAATTTTCACTTGACTACAAGTATTTAAAATCTTTACAAAAACATATAATGAGAATATACGTTATAATGAGAAATTTGTAGGTACTTGAGAATACAAGACTGAGTAAAATTTAATATTTTATTCGCAACAAATTTTATTGACAGCGGTACATAAATTACAACAAAATATTCACAAAGTAAATATAAAGCTTAATTACCTAACTGATGAATTTATGTTTATCGCCATCGGCATAAAACGATAAAAATTATAATTTGTATGAAATTTTATAAAAATATCAACTAAGCTTCGTTTCGATCTATCTTCCTTTATATTTAGAGCCGGCTAGGGCCTGCAAAGTGAAGAACTGTTTTAGTGCCGTCAATATCTTCGCGTAGTACTTCGCGGAGCTGACTGACGTATCAGATTTATATTTTCTGCACCTTATTTTTCTGCCGCCTGAAACGAGGCATATTCGTCTGCTTATATAAAACAAAAAAAAAAGAAAATTAACTACTGTATCGTGCAGAAGTGCGATATTTACATGTTCTTACCATCTCGAATCGCATCTCTTCGTTGATGCGCTCGGAAAGGTCACTTGGTATGTCGCTTTCTGTCACCTCTTGTATGACGTATTTTAGTTGTGATGTCCTACAATAAACATTACAATGTTATTTTTTAGTAATAACTGTTACTAATTTGTTTTACGTTTTGAAACGCCAAGAAAAAAAGCTTTTTTTTAGTCAGAGATTATTAGTTTCAAAATAGTTGAAGTAATAAACGGCGCGGTGCATTTTTTGGTTTGAATTTTTGTTGCAGACGGTTAGCCATGAAATGGGCTGTGACATCATAAGACCAGTGACCAAAATTTCACAAAATTTAAGGATGTATATTTTCTTTGTTGTTTCTAAGAAAGTTTAAAAACAAATAAAAGCGCCTGCTTCGTTCATTGTTTATTAAATATTGTTAGCTAATAAAAATACTCAACTTATACACCTTAGAAGAAACCCATATATACTTTAGTAGGTTAATTTCAACTGCTACATTTAAAATTAAGGACAATGGAGCAACTACTACAAGCGTTGTGAATATTTTACTACATTTGTCTACAGTTTTTAAAACCGGAAACCAGAAATGTGTATAATTTAGTGCATATTGAGTGAGAATGAATGTAATTTTATGCATATGAAAATTTAAACAGTAGTGCCAAGTATATGTACCTATATTAATTATATATATATATAAAGATAATACATACATATATATATACGTTATAAAACATGTAACGCAGTATTTCAGCGCGGTTACTTATGACCCGAGAGCTGGTAGCTACTTCGCCCAGAGCTTCTTTGAATGGTCATACTTAAGTATGGCCATTCAATTGTTCATTTTAATTTAATTCATTCAATGCTGCCGGTATCTTGGGTATGACACCTCGATGTGACGCGTTGGATTACAATGATTGTTTAATAATATGCCTATAATATTTTTGTAAATAAAAGAATATAAAGATTATTTACAGGAGATCAATAACTAAATGCACCCTTACTGAATGTAGATAAGCATATACGCGCTGGTTGCTCGCCGGGCGAGGTGTGGCGCGTCCTCTTTGCCTCCATAATTGTATTCGATAGCCTCCTGCTTACTGCATCGTGATACAACATCGTCATCGAACTTGCACCACTAATGAAGCAGATAACATAATAAAGGGCTGAAATCTAGATGCATGAAAATATGGATAATATTTTGAAGCTAAGTTTTTGGGTATCTACACCAAGTCGTTTTGTTTATTTTAAATGACAAACAAGCTGACGCCCACCTGATGGTATATAGTAACTGTCACCTAGTTACATGAACATGACTGTGATACATTCATGCTTTGCCCCACTCCAGAGGATTAAGATATTATGTCTCTAATCCTGTAATTTCACTGCATAATCGCACCCTACAACTTCAATACAGCTTACAAAGCAAGCTTTATTTGGGGCGGATGGAACACAAAAAAAAATCATTAAAATTATTTACTTTGAAAATAAATGTTATAATAGTGCAAATTACACGTCTAGTTAACAATACTATTAGTCTTATACATTTGCTTTTTATTTACTTTTATGAACATGAATAATCTTTGACTAACTCCTTAGAAATCGGTCTATTAGATCATTATAGATTAACGAAGCATAGCAGAGAGGCAGTAAATTTAGCTTTTTTTCAAATAGAGAATTCGTTTTATTATTTTTGCCAACGAAATTAATAGTACCAGTTGTTCTTGTAATTCACCCTTGTCCTTACTTTACGTTTAAACTCCGCCACACATTACGCCTCTGGCAGACTTTTGAATGTTAAGATTTGTATATATTTAGTAAATTAATATTTAATAGGCCTAAAAAGTAAAGAGACACCAATTATAATAAATCTTTTTTATTGTAATTGGTTATGTCATTGAAATTTATTAGCTTTATAAATAACCCAAGATTAGGATTTCTCCCATGTAAATTCCGACCATATAAATTTTAAAACATTTTTTGTTATACGAATACCACAGTTGACTTTCATCTATATGATGTATGTTATCGAAAAATTTGGCTCATATAATTTTATAGACTACGAGTAATGAATAAATAAAATGTATTTAGATCGATCTTTTTATACGTATAGATACGATGACGTAATTGAAACTTGTATATTGTATTTACCTTGCCATCTCCTTTGGGGTTAATGAATACCACATAATGCCCTCCGTGGTTGTCCCCTGAATGTACAAGTACCGCATGCAGTGTGTAATGTGCTGGCGAAGTTGGTATATCACGTAAATAAGGGTCCAGGTTTATTTCTTCGTAGAATTCAAATCTAAATAGTATAAAACAAATATCATTGAAGGAACATTTCCATTGGAATTTATAAATATTGCAGAATCTATGAGACAACGATATGGTAAAAAACATAGGAGAGTGTAATTTCAAATGTGAAAATACGGTAATATATTTTTAATCAACCTCATAAATGTTCGATTCTAATATATTTTTGCAACAAGAACCAACTTTAATAAACACAAAAAATATATAGCTGCTAATTATACGTCAAATGAAAGGTATAGGTAGTCACTTTCTACCTACATTTGTATGTATACAATTCTTACTTGTCATTAAATTTTATTGACGCGTCGCTCTGGGGGTCATATTGGAACCTCATAAGATGTAAATGGAGTATTGGGGGGAATACATCGAATCTCACTCCTTTTTCAGCTTCCTGTAACCCATGTTCCCCCGCATCGTACTTATTCTCGCCTTCAAGTAGCTCTGTACTTATGTAGTCCTTGAATGATTCATATACTGAAATATTAATTCACTTTGTACTCCAAGAAAATTTTACGTTGCAGGAAAATATTTGGCGCAACTACTAAATTGTGCGGAGATTTAAGCATACAAACTTATATACTACATTTTCCTCCGAATAATGTAGTATCTGTTGTGTTAGATATCTTGTTGATTAAATATTGTATTTAAAAATGTATTAGGTTTTTGCTTTATACTACAAATCTGTTATTATGGAAACAGGTCATTAGGTGAGTTTAGAATATTTAATTATCTAGTAATGTACATGTATATCTATTATATCAGCTATATTATACGTATAATGATCTCCGAGTTGTGAAATACTACAATAGTGAAATAGTATAAAACAGTCTAAAAATGAAATTATATAAAAACTTTATTTAAATAAATAAATTAGTTAACTGGAAAAATGCATAATGCATGCTCTTTTTTTAATTTTGTAAAGATCATGGCAACACCAGGATATCTAAATATTTTTCACATTTAAAAGTTACAACACACAGATACATTTAATTCATTAGTCAGTTGAGTTTCTCTGCTTGGTTCAAGCCTTTTAAATTTACAGTACAGTAAGTATACTTTGATACATTACTTTACACAGATCAGTATCAAAAGCAAGTGACATAAGGCTGTAATTTGTTCAGATAAGTCTCCTTTCCTACATTATAGGGTGGAACAACAGTAATGACGTTGTAACTCACTATTATTTTTTTCCTTAACGCTAAGTTGTATATCGTAGAACGTCTCGACACGGGTGCTGGTGCAATTAACATTCTTACACTTGATAAACGATGTCATTTTTCCTTCGAATAATTTCGGCACAGTGCCCTCTACGACCGTTCCTTTCATTTTGTTTTCGAGCTTATCTAATAGCACCTGCGTAATAAAATCTCAGGTAAAATGATTGTACTATTAGGTATTTTATTAAGGTACGCTTAGTGTTGGTTATTTCTTATCCGACTATTTTCTTTTCCAGCTCTACCGGAAGACACTCTAGTAAGATGAATTAAAATCAGAAATTTTCGCCGTTGAAATTATTGAAGAGTTAAGAACTTTTCTTAGTAAGCTATTGGAGTACAATAATTAGCAAGAAAGATATTTCTGTAATGATATTACATAAGAGAGAAAAAAGATAGAAATTTTTAAATCGCAATTCTAATATTTACAATCTTAGTCAAAGTCAATTTTGGTGTTTCTTTTTTTACTTTTATATTATCAATCTGTTTAACAAAATATACTCTATCGTAAAATTTTTTCCTAATCCAAATAATGAGTATACGATGTACCTAAAATGTCTGGCAACGTTTTCATTCTACCCTAACAGACATTTGATTGTGCGTCCGTATTGTTGCAAAAATAATAACTCAGTCAGTCAGCCTATGGTATCCACAGACGCATAAATGATTATTTGTAACGTCTCTAAAAAAAATGGTCCATTTCTGTTACTGTTTTTGTGAAAACGACATCTACCGAATTCTTTTAAACAAAAAAGGAGAAAAAATGTATACATTTCAGTTTTTGTTATAGATAAATATGGAATGTGCCTAATAAATTTTATGTTCAAGAACTTATGATTAGCTTACACGAAGAAATTCTTGTACATCATGTTGCATAAATGAATCCATAGTCTCCCATCCAAAGCTTTTCGTTAACCTCTTAGTCGCTACAGGTTTGTCGGTAAATTGTAAGTCATAAAACACGCGTTGTAGTGCAAACGCTACGGAGCGACTGCTGTCATCACCCACTGTTGGTATCTTATACACGGCCTTACGGAGTACATTTGTGAAGAACAGAGTTTGTAAGAGGGAGTTCATGTAACAAGTCGCTCCTTGATTCTTCAATCCTGTGACATAGGACAATTACTAAAGTATTATCTAAAAAAAAAGGAGCGCTAGCTACTTACGTCAATCAACTATTACCAATTTATATTTATATATTGTGTCTATTCTGTTTGAAACACGAATATGTTATTATTTATACATTTATTCATTACAAATAATTTGGGAATTCAATAATTTGTTCTGTTACATTTTTATTTTCATTCAGTCTTTTCTGTTAATGTCTCGGTAGATATACAATCTAGACTGTTTCATATATTTTGTTTTACATATACTCTTACAAATTATATTGTTTACTTTTAAGTATGTACGTAATATGATAAAAAGTCGACAATTTTACCAACAAATCCAGTATGTTTTTTGGAATCCCAAGAGATACCGTGTGGAGCCTCCGCTACTATATGTGCCTCTATGGTGATAGAATCATCTTTAATAAAACCATTGTCTGGATCCAATAAGTCATCCCAAGAAACAAAGTGAGCGAAACCCCAATCATCTTCTTTGCTGTAAAGAAATGATATGATAATATAGAGTCAAGAATTGTATTATAGATGTGTTTATTGATATATCTAGGAGTATAGTAGTATCTGTAGATTATTTTTGGTAACATCCACTGGCATACACTAAAACACGATTTCTGAGACAATGTGCCATAGTTTCCTAGCAAAAGCCAAGCCTATCTCTAACTTTTACACAATCAGGAAGATAATCTTTTATAAAGAATAATTATATATTTTTACTACACTGATTAACAAGCCTATCTGATGATACCTGAAACACCAAATAATTTTCAAATACTTTACTCACCAATGATACATATGGTGGAGTTTCCTGCATAAATGTTCACCATCTGATTTGTAAGAGAGAAGTTTGAGTTCTCCTAAACCATAGCATGACCAGCCGGGGGTATCACAATCTCCATTGCACTGTAAGAAAATGCCTAGAGCCCTTTGTTGCTGTCGTTCCGGTGTCGACGTATGACGCAACAGGACCAAGATCTTCCACGGTAGACATCGCACGTAGCAAGGTGGTGATAACACCTGCTCTTTTAACTGACTGATGTTCTGGACTGTGAAACGAAACGTCGCTTCGGGGCGCGCGATGTCATCGTCTTCTATAGCACCGACCTAGCGCATTAAAGATACTGATTGTAAGTATATTAATAAGATTAAATGTTGAGTTTGGACTATTGGCTTATTACCCCGAATTACTTCCGAGAATCCCGATAGTTAATATCTATCCGATAACAAAATTAAAAAAAAAATCGCGTGTCAATCTATATAGCTAACGGACTCTCCAGTGAAAATTATATTGATACGATATTAAAACTTAGTCGGAGAGAAAGTATTAGCCGCCTGCTGGGTTGTATTCACATATACCAAGCGTATTGCGGGCATGTCAAGTCTTCTGACTAGTAAATAAAGTGTAAAGGACCTAATTACGTATTATAACGAAGAAAGGTAACAAACCGGATTGGCCGGCAGTTTCTCGACAGTTGAATTTTCCTCGCTGCCCGCTTCAATCATTTTCAGAGGCAGTCATGTAAATCTACAGGAAAATAGAAAATAAAAATAAAAACTTCTGTCATAATTTTATGGTAATTGAAATATAAAATAGTTTTAGCGGTAAAGAAAATACTTTGACTATAATGTGAAAATTACAACTGATTTATAAAATACTAAATCAGCTGAAATTCCACACTACAGTCGATATACACGTACTTAAAGAGGGGGAAATATTATGTAGTACCTAAATGAGTAGTTACAGTAATTTAAATTTATTATTATTTATTGAAAACTTATCACTGTTATGTACACATGTGTATGTAATTTTTACATCGAGTTGCAGGTTGGTCGGGTAGTGATATCTCTAAATAATAATAATCAAAGCCACTATCCACGTATTTGTCTCTTCACTTATTTCTAAACCATACAATGGATTTTAATATGAGTATTACAGTCTATGAGATCTTTTTTATAAATATATATATATATATTTTATGAAAGGTTTGTAGATGAAATACATTCGAATATTATTTGTATTAAAATTGTTTAAATCGTGTGAAATCGAAATTGATCGTCTGTAGGTATCTATTAATTAAGTGAAAAATATCTTGCTTTACCTTGTTCCAAAATATACATAATGGTTGTTATCAAAAAATATAAACTAATTTTGTAATTTTTTTATGGCCGATGACATGCGTCACTTTAGCATTTTATAGTTTTCACATTTTGACATTTTCTAAATTTAAATAAAGCCAGTTAGAGAGAGTGTTATCATTAAAATTATATATTAAAATACATAAAGTTTCTTATAGTAATCTATGTATAGGAATACAGACTTTTATTTGTTGGAAGAATTGAAATGATAAAATAAGTCTTCATTAAATTTACAATCTGTGGTAAAACTAAGAACAGACAAATAAATTCAATATTTCAATGAGTGAGCGATCGCTTACTGTGGTCTACGTAATCGGATTTATAGGTATAATGATAAGCATTAATCTTGAGAAATGGATAAGGACAAATCTTCAGAGACCTTATTTAACAATGCCTTTACTGTATTTGTATAATGATTTATGAAATTGAAATTCTGGGTTGCCTCATTCCAGGGGGCTATAGTTACTGCTTAATTGAGTCGGCTACTGGATACCGGAAATTAATTAAAACCAGTCATCTTGCGACGACATTATTCTCCATTGGTTAGTAGATTGACAGTTAGAAGCTGAACGGTTTAATTAGAATTTGTGAATCAACCTTGTCATTAATTTATCAATTTATTACTTAACCGTGGTGGTGGCTTTACATTATATTTATTATGTATGTTTATTATCATATATATTTTTATCGCATAGACATATTAACATATTAACATCATATAGACTCAGTAAAAAGTCATCTTATTGATGGTCATCCTATTTCAGTTGTCAAACTGTTCGTTATTTAAGCTCAGTTTCGGATGATGAGTCTAGATAAGACAGTGAAATTACGGAATGCGAGGCATAATATCATTGTTCCCTGGAATGGCAACGTATGAGTAATATGTATGTATATAGGCGACGATAACATACCAATCGGTGAGCCGTCAGGTTGTTTGCTATTCTAATTACATCAATAAATAAAACATTATGACGTAGAAATATAACAGCAATAAGGCGAACTACCAACATTAATTTCCTTTCATGAAGTCAGGGCATATGGTAGGACGGACAGTCAGTTAAGGACAGAGTGCCTGGATGGGTTGCTAGCAATGGATACATTGTTAATCCCCAATATAAACAATTCATTTCTCCATTGCGTTCCTGTTACAAGGCCTTATCTTGAAGTGGTTAGTTGAATCTGACGGTCGCAACGCAATTTATTGATGTTGTTTCATAGAAAAAGAAAAAGACTTATAAAGTATAGTCTGATAGCTGTAAAAGATAAACGTTACAAATGCGCACGGTATAACGAGAAAGTAGCACAACTTTTAATTAAAATTCGTATGTTATCTGAATATATCTGTTATCTGAATTTTTTTTTATCTTAGATGTGACTAAGGCACGAAGAGGTAAGTGATGCTTGGCCAGCGAAGTAAAATGTCCTTTCACTGAATGTTCGGTGCCCAAGAGTGGCACTTTAAGAGTTCTAACTACTATAATGATGACTATAGATCTCGTGTTGGTTATCTATCTAGCAATACTAATACATGTATAATCAAGTTTCTGATAGTAATAGAACAAATGTAATCGGTTAATACTATTGTCTATTTTCGATTCTATATATTATTATTATAATATCTATAATCGTTTATATAGTGACCTTTACTATCATAGTTTTTTTATAAAAAAAGTATTATGTTGTGTTGCAAAATAGTAGCTCACATAAATATATGTTTTATTTTTACTTACTAGATATTACTGAGATAGGTAAAGTATAATTTACAACAATTATTTTTATTAGCATTTTATAAAGGACATGATGCGTGATGTAATATCTGCTGCATTATATTCGATAAAGGTTTTTGTAGTTATTTTGTTGCTTAAATATTATTGGTTGCTATCGAAAAATAAAATCAAGATTATCCTTAACAGCTAAAAGGGTCAGGTAAAGTAGGTAATACTGTTATACCCAACTTGGGTTTTCCGTTTTTCTCACTATACGCACCGAACGTCAAACAATTTTGAACAGTTTTCTTTCGACAAGCAAATGGACTATGGCGACTCCGTAAACTTTTCAAATCGAAAGGCCATTAAGGATCTCATAGGAAGGTAAGTTAACCGGCATTACGTTTAATATCTGCAGAATTAGGGAACTTTTTACATTATCCCGATGTTTAAGTAAATATTTGTGTCGCGATAAATTGAGCGTAACGAAATCTTTAACGGTTATTTAGGAAAACATTGTATCTTTATCTGATTTATTATTTACTGTTGAGAAGCGTTTGTTAAATTATACAGATTTATTGATATATATATAAATATTAAAGAATGAAGGATAAGTAACAAATACTTTTTGGTACATTTTGGGGCTTCATATAATGAAACTATTTATATTGAAATTTGGGATACAAGTACAAAAGTACAGAAGTACGTGTATTTGTCACATGAACTATATATATATAGTAAGACATTTATGTACATACGGTATAATTAAGAAAGTGTACCGAACCGTATTAGGAGCGAATTATTTGGATTTGGATTATGTGGAAACTGCGGGACCCAATCACCCATTAGAACCGTGGCGATTAACTCCATTAACCTTAATGTAACCATCCAGTCCCACTGCAACGAATCATTAGCGGGGAATAATTGTGACAAAATTGGGCTAATCGTTCGGAAATAATACAGTAAATATACAATTTGATACATTATTGCTGTTTAAGATATCTTTTAAATTCGTTTAACAACATTTTTACTTAGTGTTTCGAAGGAATAAATGTAATTCGTAATTCTTATGTTGCGTCAAGCATCCTCAAAATTTGTATGCAGTTTAATTTTAAATATATTTTATTTTTTTACATCATTTGTAAAGAAAAAATTCAAGTGCCACTTAAGCTCGCATTTAACTGATTTTCTTAAGGTATTATTTTCTATTTTTCCCTCAAGCAACCCATTCGCAAGTTAGCTTCCGGCTTAAATGCTGAAATATGGTATAATTATCCGGTGCAAAAGAGCGCGTAACAATTTCGTCCCCCACAGTAATGACTACGTATTAAGTGTAAGTGTAAAGTTATTTATCATATACTTATATATATATGAATTTATATATCCCAAAAAAAAAAACTTTATACAATACAACTTAAGTTTTTAAAATTGATAAAATTAACATTGAATATGTATTAGTACCTACGTGTAAAATAATTCAGTCTATATTCATCTTTAGTATTTTAGAAAAATATGTGTAATATTTGAATTTAAGGCCTATTAGCAAAGACTTGAGAACAGTAACAAAAAATATATAATTAGAAATATTTGAAAATTTTTACTTAATAAGTCAGTTGACATATTATATGTTCGTCCTTTAAAAATTACCAGTATCGTTGCTAAACCTGACTTCTGCTAATAATATGATGAAACTATATTTAAACATTGCGAAATAATTAGTAGGTGGAACCTATCAGCCATCTATTGAGCGTGTAGAGGATTACGTTTGAGATTCCATAATTAATGGAAGTGAAACAAGGGCCGGATGATGAGATTCAATTAACTGTAATCGATACCAATGTGTACTATTGACGAGAAATACTTATATACCTACGAATGCGACGCGATTGTTAAATAAATTATTAGTGTAACAACACGGTGAATTCACTCAGGAACTAATGAGAATAGGTATTAAGTAATCATTACGTAGTAGTAAAATGTGAAATGTACTTAATTTTTCATATTTATGTCAATATTAAAATATTTTATCAATACATGTTGAATTCCCCAAAATATGATATGATTTCCTAGAATGGAGTCAACATAATGTGCCAATGTGTATGACATGATAAAAGAGCCGTCGATGCAGTTACAATAATAGGTATTACGGAATAATTTAGGAGGTAAATAAAACATAGTAGTTTAATTTATACATATAGATTGTTCAATACTATATGTAGTAATAGTTATTCTTTGCTAGAAGTATTGAATAATTAAAATCTATTCTGTGACCATAATCGCCGGTACCGCAACTAAACACAATAATGGCTTGTAATAAATGGACTTCGACTACGGAAAATTGCTTCGCTCCGATATCTCGGTGTTCTCAGATTGACGGCTACTTGGAAAGGGGCAAAAAATCTCATCCCATCGGATTCCAATCAGACTCGCTCATTTATTGCAATTGGCTGATGGAACAGGATTTTTCTAGAAATAAGAAGCAATTCCGCCAATTCTGTCGATAGATTCTATATGTTTCCTCGTCGATCATATGTCGCTGGGGTGGATAAAAGTTGTTAGCTATGTCATTTAATATTTCAGGTAACTTTCATCAATGACGATTTACGGAAGTATCCACATCCTCCAAATAGATTGTAATAAACGTTTATTATTCATTTATGACGGCCGCGGTGGTCTAGTGCTTTAGTACATTACCATACTTCTAATGGTTGTGGGTTCAATTCTCTCACAATTTACACATTTGGATACATTTATATGATTGTGTGTGTTAGTCTGGTGTTATCTACGTATATTGTGTATGTATTTGTAATAAAAATGTATTTAAGGATTTCTATCTGTTGTTCAGTAAACACAGTACAAGCTTAGCTTAATTTGTAACTAGATGGCGCTATGTGAATAATCCTGGATTATTATTATTATGTAACTAGCGACTTGCTGAATTGTATGGCTGAAATAATTATAGAGATATCTAGTGTATTTGTGAAATAAAATATAGCCCATGATATTTACTGATAAATGAGTTTACGGTAATATGTGATTATTTTAAATCACTTAAGTAGAATTTCCCATTATCTTATTTATTTATAAAATAACTTTAGATTGGGTTGTACCCTAGCCTAACATAAATATATTAATTTTTTTTTTATTGTTGTATAGTTGAATCAAATGTTCCAAGTTTATTCAAATAAAAAAATATTTCTATTTATAAATATCATTGCGGAGTAAATATTAACTCTTTTTTCTTTATATATAACTAGTGGTCCCCCATGGTTGGGTCCAGCTTTGTGTATGTTAATAAACACAAAGTTATAAGTACTCGGGCATATAGTGGGTATATGGATAGAAATATAGTA